GGTTTGCCTCCACTGGCTTAGGATTTTGATTCACTACTCTGCCTCCCTGGCAGGGGCTGGGCTCAATGTTCTATAGGGTCCCTTCCCGCTCTGCAGTTCTAATGTTTTTACTATTATTTCCAACAGAAACACAGTGCTTGTTTGGGTATGCAAAAGAAGCAATACTGATACTGGCAGGCAACAATCCCATTAGAATTGGGTATTTAGATTGGGGATCTAGAATAGGTATCTTCCTTGGGGTTTATGACACAAATCCCCCTTCTTGAACCTGTCTGGGGCTTCATGCACTCACCCAGTGTGGTGAAGGCAAAAAGGTAGCCTTCCCTTTTAAAAAACAAAGCACACGTTTCCCATGGATCACCATTGCATCTCCTGTGCAAAGCCTCTGGTATAGATAGCGAGTCTGGAACACATGACTTAGTAGCCCAAAGGCCTCCAATCAGCTGAGAAAAGGCAAATTGTTTGTTTGTAAGCTGCCTTTCTCCTGGGGAAGTGACCCAAGGCAGCTCACAATGTTAAACAAATAAAACTAAAGACAGAATAAATCACTGATTAAAAAGCAATTAAAACATAGATAAAGGTTCCCCTTGACAATTTGTCCAGTCGTGTCCAACCCTAGGGGGCGGTGCTCATCCCTGTTTCCAAGCCCTAGAGCCAGCGTTTGTCCGAAGACAGTTTCCGTGGTCACATGGCCAGCACGACTAGACATGGAACGCCGTTACCTTCCCACTGTGGTGGTACCCATTTATCTACTTGCATTTTTACATGCTTTCGAATAGCTAGGTTGGCAGGAGCTGGCACAAACGACGGGGGCTCACTCCATTGCATGGATTCGATCTTACGACTCCAGGTCTTCTGACCTTGCAGCACAGAGGCTTCTGTGGTTTAACCTGCAGTGCCACCATGTCCCCTAATTAAAACATACTACTAATTAACCCATTAAGTCATTTCAAAACATTGCTTAGGAATACAGCGGACCCTTGACTTACAGACGGCTTGACTTACAGACTTTTTGAGTTACAGACTTCTCTGGCTGCAAAATTTAGGTTTGACTTGAAGCCTGAGAATTGACTTACAGACCAGAAAAAAACCAAAATGGAACAAAAACGGCCGGTTACGGGATTAATCGGTTTTCAATGCACTGTAGGTCAATGGAGACTCAACCTACAGACTTTTTGACCTGCAGCCACCGTTCCAATACGGATTAATTCTGTAAGTCAAGGGTCCACTGTATACTGATGTTTCACCATCTACTTGCATATGGGACTGTTCCAGATGTGGATACAAAATGAGTCCGGCACCCACATCTGAAGTGGGATCAGCACGGCTAGAGACCTGAACCACACTCCACTCGTATCGGTTTGGTGATTTGTGCCAGTTCGTTCAGCAGCCGTACAGGCTGTCCCGCACTTTATAGCCCCACTTTGTCCGGTGGGCATCTACTCAAAGGCAGCGCCCAGAGGAGGAGGGGCAAAGGAGCCAGGCTGCTGCTTCTGAGTGGGTGCCTGTTGGAGGAGGCGGTGCTTTAAAGTTCCAAACACCTGTTCGGCCAATACACAAATTCGCAGGAACCACCGAACCAGCAGTTTGTGCCCATCTCCACTCACAGATGTCTGGATTATTTTTTTAAACAAGTTTTAGGATCTACCAAATATCCATTGATGCTGGCAGTGCTCCAGAGATGTTTCATTCTGAGTAAAAAAATTGAAATGTTGATCTAATTTTCTACTGGGACAAAAGTTTGCCCTTTTTAAATTACAGTGGTGCCTCGCATAACGAGCGCACCATTGAACGATGAATCCGCATTGCGATGCGGATTTCCCCATTGCTAATGCGAGGGCATGCTCGCATTACGATGGGGGAACAGCTGTTCAACGATTCCAAAATGGTCGCCGGGACACCTAAAATGGCCGCCAGAACATGGGAAAATATCGGAGAACGGTGAGTAAAAGTAAAAAGCAGCACCTAATTTTTAAACACCACAATATAAAGTAAAAATAAATAAACAGACCAAGTCCCACCCTGGCCGCTTAACGATGTTTTCCCATAGCGAAGTGTAATCTGGAATGGATTAACCTCACTATGTGGGGCACCACGGTACTTTCATGAGCGTTAAACTGCTTGGGAGTTTTGNACTTTGCCTTTTTTAAATTACTTTTATGAGCAGCAGAAGAGAATGTGTTAAACTGCTTGGGAGTTTCGGGACTTGGGAAGTGTCTTTTTTTTTTCAGACTACAACACCCAACATCCCTTTTGGCCATGCTGACTGGGGATTCTGGAAATTCTAGGAAAAACTATAATTTTCAAAGCTCTGAGGAAATTTCAGACTTCTCTCACCATCCAAACTACCTTGTCAACGGATCATATTCCACCAACTCATTTCCAGAAACAAACAAACCTGCCGCACTAAGGGTTTTCTCATATCAACAAAATAAATTGCATGATGACATGTTTGCTTGCTAACTAAGCAGCACTGACATGGACAGGCAGGGGTGGCATTAACGCCGGAGTTAACAGCAGCAATCTAAGATAATTTATGAATGCAATCGCTTTTCTATTCTTCCCCACAAATTCAATTGCAACCAAGTTTAAATTACATTAGAGATCTCATGCTCCGTGGACAAATAAGATCAGGGCACACCGCGAAGACTGATTAAAAGACACAAAGGAGTCTTCAAATATGATGATTCAGGAAGTCAACTCTCTTCCCAACCAGCTTTATTTTCTACTAGAGGTCCCGAGGCTATTAGTTATGGTGAGATGTAATAATTTCATGCTGTCAAGTTATCATGGTGACCCTCTTCAGAGTTTTCCAGGTAGACAAAACACACAGAACTGGTTCACCATTCCCTTGTACTGGGGACATTCTGGGACTGTGCAGCTTGCCCAAGGCTACACAGGCTGGCTCTTTCCCTAGGAAGCATAATCGGGAATCAAACCCCCAACCTTTGACTCTGCTGAGCTATCCAGCCAGCTTTATGGTAAACCCAAGTGTTACAGTAACGTTGACATAAGATAGCAACAAGAATTTATGTTCCGTGAAGGTTCCTCTTCCATAGTGATTGCAGAGTATCTCATGAACTTTCATATCACGTATCCCCATTCCTAACTAGCACTCTGTATATCCATGGGTATAACATTATTCTTTTCTTCCTTCACCCTCCTGTTCCCAGAAGCCACAGAGGTCTTTCCAAAGCACTTTGAAAAATGGTGATCTAGCACACTCTATAGGCCTGGTCAACTATCATGACAAGCCATGGTTTAACGTGATACAAAAGAAGCCACAGTGAGACTTAGGCTAGCACATTCCTGTCTTCCACCATGGTTAGAGCGTGGCAGTGGAAAGGGGGACACGAGAAAGAAAAACGTAAGTGTAAGATAGCACTTAAAGCAGGAGTGTGCAAAATATGCCGCCCCCAATCTTTGACCCACTTCTGAAAAAGAAGTCTAATAATCTTAACATTCCAGCTTGTTTTTAATGTTATCTATATTTTACTACACATTTTACTAAAGGGAACCTTTACCTTTACCTATATTTTACTACATCCATAGTTATAAATTGTGCAATGCTCCAACAGGCCTAAAGAGAAAAAAAGACAACTTTTTGTTGCTTTGCATAAACATGTTGCTGACTTCCAGCAGTAGCAAAAAGAACCAACATTTGCTTTAAAACAAGGTGTGTGCAGAGCTATCACCTTGTTTATTTTTAAAAAAATATTTTTACCCCGCCTTTTTCATAAAAGGACCAAGTTGGCTTTGATCATTAAAAAACAGTATTTAACAGCTAGAAACAGTAAGAATTACAAATATTTAAAAAGAACAAACTCAACAAATAACACACTGAAAGTGGTGCAAAAAGCAACAAGGCACAACAATTTGAAAAAATCCCACTCAGGCGGTTAGTCTATAAGGGAAAGCCTGCCTGAAGGGAAAGGTCTCCATCAGCTTGTGGAAGGACAGCAAAGATGGGGCCAGCCTGTGGGAGGGAGTTCCAGAATCTGAGCGTAGTGACAGAGAAGACCCTCTCTCCTGTGTCCCCACCAAGGGTGAAAATCTCATAATGGTATTTTCCTCATTAGGCTAGCGAAAGCGGTAGAGAGGATGGTAAGAGACTGAAAATACTCTTTAATACTATTTTTTCCTTCTCTGCAACAATTGTGGGCTGATACTTCTCCACCGCTCGTGGCTTTCAGCCTAACTTGATCCAAAGTGAGCTGACAAGTGCCATGTTTTTGGCTCACAACAGGTTCTCATGAGCCCTGAAACCTCTCATGACCTTCAAGCACACATCATAACAACGGCACATCCGGGCCAAAATTCAGGTGTCTCAAGCAGAGGCCTGTAACAGCCACCCTCAAACCTAAAAGAGTGGTTGCTACTTCACTTCAAAAACCTCTGCTGCCACCAACTTATCCTTAAAAATAATCATAAAAGGACAAGTATATCTTTTAAAAACAAAAACTGGTTTATTGATTACAAAAATAAAAATAGTAAATCACTGGTAAAGAATCAATTAAACAACCACTGATAATAAACACTGGCTCCCACAGACTATTTCACACTGACAGGCTCTCTCACTCACTAAAACTGACAATCACTTTAAACTCTCAGCTCAGACTCTCATCTCCAATCTCCCCTCACACACTCTTCACCCCCCTTTTTATACTAGCTCCTCCCCTTAAGTTCCACCCTCCGTCACACCGTAGGCTGATGACTCACTGCCCAGCTGTGACGGACATGTGATGTTATATCTGTCCATTACAAGGCATCCTCTGGTTCTAGTTGGCCAAGGGCACGGTATTTATTGAATATTTAGTTGATGAATATTTATTTGGTAAATATTGGTTGGCTGGTTGCAACTTGGTTGGTTGAAAAAAAAATCCATGTATAACCAAAACTGTGCTAGTTAGACACAGGCAACTCAAGGGAGAAGTGTACTTATTTTTCTATTCAACACATTTTGCAGAATAAGAAGTGTTTTTGGAAAGGGTGTGCCATACCTTGGTTTCGCACTGGGCTGATGTAGTTGACTCCATTCACGTTCCTCCAGTCCCAGGATTTAGGGAGAATCGAAGCTTCATTAACTAGTTCTGCAGTCAGAGGAGCAGGCTTTGGCCTACAAACAACAACAACAACAACAACAACAACAACAACAACAACAACAACTTATACTCTGTATGTTGGAATCCATGCCAAGGACAAGAGGAACACTTAGAAGGACTAGTTGTAATCTTTGAATTGCCTTTGCTTGTTCTTCTGTCCTTCTTTCATTTTTATTTCACCTCCCACAACTAAGACTCTCTGGCTAGAATCTTGTCACATCACATAATAATGGGCTCAAGTTACAGGAAGCCAGATTTTGGATGACTGTCAAGAAAAACTTCTTAACTGTTAAGAGTAGTACGACAATGGAACCAACGATCTTGCAAGGTGGTGAGTGCTCCAACACTGGAGGCCTTCAAGAGAAAGGTAGGCAACCACCTGGAAGATATCCTTTGATTCGTATTCCTGCCTTGAGCAGGGGGTTGGCCTCGTTGGCCTTACAGGCCCCTTCCAACTCCA